CCCGTGATGGAGCGGTTCATGGCTCGCGAGTGCTGTGACGCGAGCCCTCGAGCTGCTCCGACTATGGGCGATCCAGGTCGAGGGCCCCCCATCCACCGTCTGCTGCGAGTGCCGCGGCGAGGACAGGTCGCAGGTAGGATGAAAAAGGAGGGAGGGCCGGTTCTGTTTCAATCGCAGCAGACGCGGTAGGAGGGGACAGGGTGGTGATGGTGGTGGCAGGGGGAGCAGAGGGCACGGCTTTAAACGAGGTGCGGGAAGTTCGGCGAAAAGGGCAAGGGTGAAAAAAAAGAAAAATGAGGGCGCCTTGGCCAATCAAAAAGAGACGGGCTGCCAGCGCCTCGGCTCGGTCCCATCACTCGGCCGTGTGTGTGCCATTACCGCCCGCTACCTGCTACTGCGCCACGCTCAAGACTTCGACCAGACTGACAACGACCGCCCTTGCCACGACTATTGTCCTCCTGCTGATGCTAAAGGCCTTGGCTGGACGACGACGCCTTGGCTCGCGACCTCGTCACCCTATTGGCCGGCTTCTGCGGTGCTCGAACGCTGGCGCTTGCACGTCGCTCCCCGGACGCCGAAGTCCTTGCAGTGTTTCTGCCGCTGGTGGCAGCCGTTCTGGTCCTGCCCGGGGCGATGTTGAGCGTGGCAGCGTCCGTGGTCGCCGCCGCAGATGCTGCGTTTCGTGTGCCGGCTGCGTTTGCTCTGCCAGGTGCTGCAGTTGGCGTTGGCGCCGTTCGCGCCTTTTTGCGCTGAGCGTCCGAGGTGCGTCTGGACGGCTCTGCCTCGTCCGCCAGCGCCCTCTTCTGTCCGGCCACAGAGCTGCCCCCGACTGAGCCAGTCTCGACCGCCCTGTCTGTTGTCGTGCTGGCCGAGACATCGCTCAGCAATGGCGTCGCGAATGTCCGTGGGAGCCTGCCCTTGGCCTCTGCACTGCTTTCCGGCCTGTTCGCGCGTGCGACTTTCGAAACGGTTCGCGGGGCGCCGGAAGCAGTGTCTGTCGCTGTTGTAGATGGTGCCGACGGCCTCGATGCCCCTGTTGCCGATGCTGGCGCCCGAAGGCTTTGCGAGGATCGAGATGGCCTCACGGCGCGTGTCGAGGTGCCCCCGGTACCGATCGACGAGCTTACTCGCGTCCGACGGCTTGGGGGCGCCACGATTTCGTCTTCGACATCCGGGCGCTCATGGATCCTTTTGGGGGCTGCCGTCGAAGAACGGCGAGGGGTAGCCAGCCTCGATGGTACGGACGCCTCCTCGGTGCCGTTGGCGGCGCTGACCCTGCTGGAGACGTCGAGCTCTGAGGCCGGGTTAGCGTTTATCGACCGCTCGGCTTGCTTCTGGCGCACGTCGACGGCGTCCTGGAATGGAGGGGGTATGAAGGCGAACTGAAAGTGGCCCGGCAGCTTCGGAGGGGGCGAAAGGAGTGCGGCTGGGTTCGCAGGGGTGCCTGGGATCGCCGCCGGTGGCACGAACGCAAAGGTAGGCAGCGCTGGAGATCGATCAGACGTGGGGCTCGACGACGGCACGGCCGCATCTGGAGCTCGCGACGACGTCTTCTGAGCTGGGGAGGCTGCGGCAGGCTTGGACGGCCTGGCTTCTTGTTCGGAGCTGCGCTGGTCTGCCATCGAGCTGCGCCTTTGTTCGTGCTGCTGTCGCTGCGAAATGACCCTCGCCTTTTGCAGAGCGCTGCGAGGCTTTGGCTGCTGCCGATCGAAGGTCGAAACGGCCGCTTCCGGTGTGCGCGGTTTGGTGTTCTCCGTCCTGACGGCACGACGGTCCTGCAGCGGAGAGATCTCCTCGATTGTGGCGCTGGCGTGCGCATCATCTCCTCTGCCTTGGGACCACAATCCGGCGTAGAGGTCGCCAGAACGAATTCGCAGCCAGCCGAGAAGGACGTATGCGAGCGGAAGGAGACGTGCGGAGGCATGGATGGCGGCGTCGATGATGGGCTCGTATGGCGAGACGATTGGCACGACGAAGCGGTTGAAGAGCATTTGCGAGCCCTAGGAGGGACAGAGAGAGAAGAGTGGCAGACGAGGCGCGGACAGGGGCAGCGTCAGTGGGCGCTACGCTGCCCTTGTGCACCTATCGAGCCGAGCATGTACCCACGAGGCTGCGCGTGACGAGGAACCACATGAGGCAGAGCGTCTTGATGGTGTCGTAAAAGGGCACGACCCATGCCAGAGTCCTGTCGCAGAAAGGCTCGAACATCATGCCCAGGTTCTGGAAGGTATGGCGTATGTTGGACTCGCATCGTCAGTCTCGAGTTGACTTGTACCTCGAGCGTCGGCATCGAGGGGCCAGGGCGACTCACCCAGACGAGGATGACCATCAGTGCGCTGCGAACACTGGCTCGGCGAGTGGCCGACCCGATCCTTTGACGGTCGAAGGGCTCCCTCCGGGCAGGCGTGCCGGGTGGCGCATCTCTTGCTCGGACTGCCCTGGTCGAGGGCTTCGATGATCTGCCGAGGTCTGCGAGGTGGGGCGTCCTGAGAGCGTCGAAGGTGTCGCGCAGGCAGAACAGGAGGCTGTCATGACGACGGGAGGCCAGAGGGCCGTGGATGAGAGATGAGCTCGATGCGAGGAAGCAGGTCTGACGTCTGCCACGCGCTGGATGGCTGGCTCACATGATGGCTTTGAGGACTAGATCGGTGAGCGTCATGTCTGGCGCGGCGCCTGTCGAGAGATCAGATGACCATGTCCCGCGTCTGGCACCAAGTGCTTGGGTTAAATGCGGGCGCTGAGCGGTGCGCGCTGGTGCTGGGTGAGGGGTGGGAGGATGATGGTGGTGGTGTGGTGGGTGGTGTTGGCTGGGGCATGTGTTTGGGGGTTGTTGTTTGGGATGTGTTGGTTGGGGCGTGCGCTTCTTGTTTGCTGGCCAGCTGGATGTGGAGGCTGGCAGGCAGGGGCAAGCAAGCAGGCAAGGAGGGCCCATCCCTGCCTACAGGAGGCCTAGCACTAGAGGGCCTTTGCCTGCTGGCCTGCAACCTTCCTGTCCCCATCTGGCTGGATGCACCGCGGGAGGTGATGGCGACGACCATCTCAGCCTCTCGCAGCTTTCGTCCTGATTGCGATCCACAGGCAGGATACGGCTACCGCATCGGCCAGCTCAGTGCTTGCCGTCCGTACCCGACACCATGACGCTGCGCCTTTGCAGGATCTCGACCGCCCGCTCAGCTCTCATCATGGCCGCCAGCGACGTCTCGAGACTCACCCCCATCGTTGCTCTGATCGTCCATGGGCGCAGGCAGGTCACCCTCTGCGCATTCTGCTTCGATTCTGAGCCTGAAGGGACGAGGCAGCAAGCAACCATCAGGGGATCAAGCAGAGCTCAGAGGCTACGAGTGACGTCCATCGCCAGGTCGGGGTGCCAAAATATCGACCCAGCCAGCCAGCCAGCCAGCCAGACGCCCGTTCCTTTCTCTTTGCCCCTCGCCCGGGCCGAAGCGCTGGCAAAGGGCAAGGACGCCGGCATCAAGACTTGTATCTGGAGGCGTCAGCCAGCTCCACCGCCAGACGACTGATCCCAGGTCGCTGAGTCCGGCGGCGGCGTTGCAAAAGTCATAACCTTTGATTGCCTCGTCAGGTGTCGCGTCGAGACGTCGACGGACTGCGCCATCGACTGACAACAGGCTTGGTTTTTGATGATCGCCCACCATCGAATGGAACCACTCTCTCCGTGTCGCCGAGTAAATATGGCGGCGGCGTGCGCGTGTGTCAGGTGCCCTCCTGATACGACGACGACGACGACGACGACGACGACGACGATGATTATGTTGGCTCGCTGCGCCACGGCCGCTTCACGTGTCAAGAGGCCGATCCTCTGGGTGGCATCAGCTGTCTGAATTTCTTTCAGGTCGACACGCAAGAAGGGAGATCCGCGCTGAGGGAGAGGGGGAGAGAGAGAGAGAGAGAGAGAGAGAGAAGAAGAGGAGGAGAGAGAGAGAGAGAGAGAGAGAGAGAGAGAACAGAAAGCTCGCACACAGCAGGCTTTCCACAACGGGAGCCAGCAGCAGGCCGGGCGACGTGTAGGTTGGTCGCCGCGACACGCCGTCCCGACCGACCCTCGGGGTCTTTGCAGCTAACAAGCAAACGCGGTCGCCTCGTTTGCTGCCCTGCCCTGCCCTGTACCGGTGGGACAGCCTGCAGTCGTTCGGGTGTGCGCTCTCTTCGTCCATCACTTGAGGTCAATCCTGCCTAGCCTCTCGTTTGCGACGATGCCGACGACCCTCGGGGAAAGGCCACGACGCTGTCCCGTCTCGAGCCCGGAGGCCAGCCCGAGGGGATGCTTAATCGTCGTCGCGAGCAGCACGGGCTGGCTGGGCGGGCGGGGCTGCCTGTCAAAATTCGACGACGAGGCAGGCTAGGCTAGGGCTCTTTTTGGCATCAATGGGTTTCGTCAAATACAAAGTCGTTGGGTGCATTTCAAATGCTCGCTCCCCTGGGGGAGACGCCTCGAATTCCAAGTTTCAAGATGGATTCTGGCAGCGCCCGCCTCGGCGAGAGAGACGATGATGGATGCGTGGGAGGTGCGTTCGGCCTAGACGCCGCCTGTGAGCGCGAGCACGAGCGCGACCGCCACCGCCGACCAGCGTTCGAGCATCGTACAGTATCTGGCCAGCGAGCGAGCAAGCCGACCAGCAGAAAAGGCTGCGACAGTCCAGACTGGTTGCTGCTATGTCGGCCCCGTAAAGAGACAAGAGAGAGAGAGGGTGGCGAGGAAAGAGAGGGACGACGAGCGAGAGAGTACTGTACGGCGACGACCGTGATG